AAGCTGGGGCCTCGCGGAGCCGTCCGAGCATGCACGCCAGCGCGGCGTCTTCTACAACGCCCACGGGGGCGAAAACCCTAGAGGACATCCGCCGCGGCGGCTTTGCCCTCCTGCCCAGGACCGTGCAGGGAAGCAGCAGGCGCGCCGTCGCCAGATAGAATATACGCCAGCGCCCACCCAGCCCACGCGGCAAATTGCTGCGGCGCGGCCCGCGCCAGGCCAAGACAAGAAGGTCGCGCCAAAGCGGCTGGTCCCAGCGGCATGTTCGTCTGCGAAGCACCGCCAGCAACCACGGGCCCTGTTGATGCCGCAGCTACGGCCAAGAATTACATGCCCGGCCACCATCCAGCAAAGCCTATATACCCCAGAGTCCGGCAGCTGCTTATCCGATGGGATTACGCCTGTCTGGACGAGGCCTCGCCCTGAGCGCGCAGGCTCAAGGAGGCACGGGGAATAAGCGACCGCGCCCGTGTCATGATCGCGGCTGGAGTCACAGGCTAAGAAGCCACTTGCGCAGCTGAGCCCATCGATAGCAAGCAACATTAGGGGGCCACATGCGAACCCTACCCCTACCCCCCACGATTTCTGAAGGGGAGGGTGTTTTCACTTCGTTAGGGAGCTCCCGAGCGAAGTGAACCCCACCCTCCCCGCAGAAATCGTGGGAGGTGGGGGTAGGGTTCGCATGCGGCCCCCTAAACATGTCCAGGGGCAAACCAGTGCCAGACGCCCGAGAACCCATGGATGCATGGCCTGATGCTGCCCGCGAGCGGCCAAGGCGCGGCTCGGCAACCGCCGCCGCGCCCCCCGTCCTCGAAGCAGGCATCCTCCCGGACGAGCCGCCCCCAGGCATGGCCCACGCGGGCATACAGGGCAGTGTTTTTTTTTAATACATGGGATTTTTAAAAATATAGGATTTTGAATACATGATTCATTTACGAATAAATCAATGCATCAAATCAGCATTGCTTTTCATACTAAACCCCTTCACTTTCAATACGTGATCTGCACGCGGAGCATGTATTAAAAACGGCACCGTATCCGGCAAACCCACGTGTCTCGACGACGCGGAGACACGGCTGGCTCCCCAATGGCACCCAACGGCACAGGCTTCGCGCGCACCAGCGCGCGAGGCATCGCAGCCACCCGCGGGCGCCCCACCACGCGGACGAACGATCTGCCAAGCCATCGGCCCCATGAACCGAGGGCCAGCCGTCAAGGGAGATGCCAAGCTCTGCAGAGCCAGCCCCCAAGAAGCCGTGGACTCGCCAAAAGGCCAAGCGCGGCCAACTGGCTCCTAGCGGCAACCAGGGACGTCGGCGCCACCCGCCCCGCCCACCGCGGAAGCAGACGAGGGCCAAGCGAAGACGCGCAGGGCGCAGGGGGCACGTGGCTCGGGAACCAACCGGCGAACCTGCGCACAGGCCGCTGGCGCCCTGGAGAAGCACGCCCCACGAGCAGGTCGTGCCACGGGCCATCTCCGACGGAGAAGGAGGAGGAGGAGGAGGAGGAAAAGAAGGCGAGGGGGGGAGGAGGAGGAGGAGGAGGAGGAGGAGGAGGAGGAGGAGGAGGAGGAGGAGGAGGAGGAGGTGCTGAACTCGTCGCCGACAGGCCGCCGGCTCGTCGCTCGACCGCAACTGCGACGGCGTGGACGCCCAAGGTCCACCGGGCTCGGGGCCCTCAGCAGGCCGGCCTCGACGACGCCGACGCGCACTTCGACCCTGACGCTCAACGACAACAGCAACAACAACATCACCAACAACAGCAACAGCAACAGCAACAGCAACAGCAACAGCAACAGCAACAGCAACAGCAACAACAACAACAACAACAACAACAACAACAATTACTAGCACGTGGGGACACTCCGTTCTCACCAGTGCCAGGGTTTTCATAGGAGGCGGGCAATACCCCCACTTTGTGGGGGGGCCGGTTCAAGCTCTACCAAATTTCCAAACGACTCTTCGCCACCACCCACACCCAGCTTCCCGCCCTATGACGTTCGGACACTTCACTTCGTGGCATGCGGACGACCGTGGCTACTATTCAGGGCCCCGCGGCCGACGACGACGGCGTGCGCGCGCGAAGAAAAAACGAATGTGTCCCGCATGGTATTATTTGACAGGGATGATGGCCCTGGCAGGTGCGCAACCGTTGTCGCAGAAGTTCGAAAAAGTTGCTCGCAAAAGCCCGTTTGACAGAAATGTTTAAAAAGTGTTGGGTTTCCTACGAATCCGCAAGAGCGCGCGGGATGAGATTTTGACAATTTTTTGTTGAAAAACCATTGGTTTTTTGATGTTTTTATGTTAAAATCGCTGCGAACACTAAGGTTTTGGAAGGATTTCGTCTTGCGCGCGCGAATGTCCACTTTACCTTATTTTTTGCAAGGGATTCTTGAAATTTGATTATATTAGAACAAGAAATGTCATTTTCTATTGTTTTTTGCAAGGGAAAGCGGATTACAACAAAACAACCGGATCCTGTACACACCCTCTTTTCTGAGGCTTCCTCACGAAAATGATGAAAATGTAGCTGCGGCCTAGGCGGCGCAGGGGGGGCGCGCACCAGGGGGCCCAACAATAATTATTCTTTAGAATAAATAATGTTCAACAACAGCAACAATAATAACAACGACAACGTCAACGACAACGACGACAACAACAACAACAGCAGCAGCAACAACAACAACAATCATTTTAAGACTGTTCGCCTTTATATGCTCGAGTGTCCAATAATGCGTATTTCCCAAACCCTCGATACCCGCCCTCTTCGTCTTCGATCGAACCCCTTTTGGGGGGTATACTTTTCTTCCCTGCAGGCCGGGCCCCGGCAAGCGGCGGGGCGGCCGCGGACCGTCGGCCTGGCCAGCGGCAGCGCTGATCGGCGGGGCAACAACACCAACAACAACACCAACAGCAACAGCAACAGCAACAGCAACAGCAACAACAACAACAACAACAACAACAACAACAGCAACAACAACATCACCACCAACAACAACAACGACAACAACCAGGACATCGAAGGTAGCGGCGAGGCCGAGGCGGCCGGATAGGCCGACGCGGGCGCGGGCGAGGCGCCGGGCGCGGGCGCGGGTGCTGCTGCGCCCTTTACGGAGGTACGAGAGCTGCCGCCTTCTCTTCGCCGCGGCGCCGGCGGCGGCGATGCCCCCCCCCCCCGTCGCGCCTCTCGCCGCCGCCGCCCTACAGTCGGGGCGTTGACCTAAGGAACCCTAAATAAGGAACGAGGCCCCTTTTTTCCATGAGTTAAACTTCGATTTCCGATCGAAAACATGAGGGAACCCGAAGCAAGCTGTGAAACACTTAAGGAACACCGAGCCCCTCCCCAACGAAAAGCGTTCCTTCTTCAGGGCCCCGACTGTAGCGCACGCCGCCGCCGCGTCGCCGCCCCCCTAGCGCCCCCCTCCTGCTACCGTCAGGTGGGTTGGGGCTTTCACGGTGGAAACTTAGATTGGACCCCCCCGTGGCTCCATTTTCGAGCCCCCGCAGTGGCTGCCCCCTCCAGGAGAGCCCCGGCAGAGGCCACCCCCACAAGGCCCGAACACTGCGGCAACACCGAAAAGCCAGAGGCGGACCCCCACCCCGCTGACGAAACGAGGGCGACCCCCAGATGGCCCAGCGCAAATGTCGCCATCCTGGATGCCGGCCAGAACTCGCACACCAAGCTGCGGGGGCACTGCGGGGCCACCATCCTCGCTCTCAACGGAACCCGCCACCACGCCGACCGACGTCTGGGGGCGCATCCCCGAAGACGACTTTGTTGAGCGCAGAGGGCGCGGAGGTGGCACCGTCCACAGAGTCCGCTCCGCGGCCGCTAAGCAAAGAGGGCCCTGCATCGCTGAGCAAGGAGCGTTCGCGGACGCTTCGAAGACGACCCAGCCGCCGCCACCCTCCTCGCGACCGCGCGTTGGACGGAAGCCCGCCGCCCTATCCCGGCCCCGAGCGCCGCCGCCAGGCGGAGGGGGGGCAAGAGAGGGGGCCTTCTCGAAGGCGCACATGCTGCATCAGTCTTCGCCAAATCGGGCGCTGACAACACGGCCCTATGTCCGCGGGTCTGGGAGGCAGCCGACAGGGCGGGTGGCGCGCGGCACTTCGTACGCATGGACGCCCAATGCGACGTGAAGGATCCGGCCTTCCTCGCGCACGCCCTCACTCTGAGGTGTGCCCAGATGGGCGGACATGCACCTACGGCCGAGACCTTGGCTGGGACCGTCGAACCACGGGCACTGGGAACACGCGCGTCTACCACGTGCTCGCCAGCTCCGAAGGGCGACGACTTGCTGTCGACGCTGTCCCCCTGCGTGACCTCCCCACGCAGCATCGCAGAGGCCGCCGGGCCCCCCTCGACCTCGCTGTCGCCAGACATCCAGCGAGAAGATCGGGGGCGGTCGTGCCCGGCCCGCCTGTTTACTGTACCCGACGACTGATGGAAACGGGCAAAAAACTGCTGGGGAACGCGCTGAGTGCGTTTGCCGGGATCGGATGGGCGAGGCCCACGCCGCCGGCGACGCCGACGAGGTCCTCGACCCGGCGAACCAAGCGGCGCACGCCCTGCGCGCGACACTCCACGGCAGAGATCTGCGACGAGGCCAGCGCAAACATCCGACGAGACACGGCGACTGCATGGTTCCAGGGCGCCTGCGCTGCCCCGCTCGCGCGCCCAGAGCACGGAGCAGCCAGTCGCTCCACAGTCGCTCTCGACAAGCTCTCGCGGCAACCCAGGGCAACAAAGAAGGCCCCAGCATTCCACCAGAAACACCCAGGCGAGAATGGCAGCAGCCATCCTAGACTGCTGGGGCTCATCAAGCGGGCCCGGGCCGCGGCAAATGCTCCGGCCAAAGGCCACGGCCCGAATTGCCCGATGGAGCTCCCGCGCGTCCGGAGCAGCGACGCACTCCCCACCGACCGGCGAGTCAATGACCCGATCGCCCCCACCAACGCACCGCTGGGAATGCGCAGCCACTCCGGCAGGACCAACCGCATCGACGCCTGGAAAGCCCCAGCGCGAGCCGACGACGAAGGCGGGGCGAAAATCCAGCGGGGCCAAGGCAGCCAACAACTCCGGCGCCGTCGACCTGCGCCGCCACGCGCGAGCGAGAGCAGAGAGCGAAACGACAGAGACGCGCCGGAAGACGGGGGCGCGCCCGATGCGCAGGAAACCTCCAGCGAAACTCACGCCACTGCCTCGAGCGACTCAGTCACGGACAACGCGAGTGAAACCGATAAGTCAACCCCAATGCAATCCAATCAGAATTCACTAACACCATAGCCACGCTCAAACTCGTGGCGGACCCCATCCTGGGCAGACGCGGAAACGCAGGGCCCCGCTCGGAGGAAGCCATTCCAAAGGCCTGCGCCAGCCTGGCCGTTTGCCCTGACCGACGAGGCCCTGGCCCACTCCATCCCGACCCGACCCGCCGCCAGGGCAGGGGGCATGGTCGGGTGGACCACCAACGAATGGAGTCCTCCGACGCAGTCATCCGAGGTGGGCAGGGCAGGAGGAGGGTAGGAGGTGAGAGAGGAGGAGGCGGCGGAGGAGGAGGTGGAGGGAGTGGGGGAGTGGGGGGGGAGGAAGGGACGGAGGGACGGAGGGAGGATGATAGAGGGAGGAGGTGGAGGGAGAGAAGGTGGACCTCCAAAGCGCTCTCCGACGGAGCGCTCTCCGCCTCTCCGACGGAGACCCGAGGGCAACGCGACGGCGCGGGGCAGGCACTGGCCACTCCTGCGCTTGCCAGACCCATGACTTCGGGGGGGGGGGGGGGGGGAAACAGCGAGGCCCCCACCCACCGACCGACGCTTGCTCCCCGCCATGTCCACGCGGATGCACGCCTGGGAAGCACCACCCCACCACGGCACTGCCTCCTGGAGAGCCAACGACGGGGCCCGCCCAGCGAGTTGCGGCGCGGCACCGCGCGCCGCGATCAGGGGCGCCAGCGCGACTCTCGCGCCGCAAGTCGAACGCGCGGGGCGCCTCTGAGCACCTCCGGCGGGGCCTGCGCTGGACAGGCCAAGAGTGCTTCGACCGCCTCGCCGCGGACGTCAACATCTGCCTCGACCTCGCACGGCGGGCTCGCTGTCCGAAAGGCGACGACGACGACGACAACGACGAAGACGACGACGAAAACGAAGGCGACGGCGACGGCGACGGCGACTACGAAGGCAACGGCGACGACGACGACGACGCTTCAGCGATGGCCGCTCCAGCGGGAGCGGGGGCCAGGCGGCGCTTCAGCGATGGCCGCCGGACGCTCGCACGAGGGGAGCCTGCTCCAGACCCTTGGCGCGCACCCGCGGGCGCCTCCGAGGCAACCCTCTCCCGCGGCGACATCGAGCTCCTCGTGCGCGCGCGGGCCAAGCGACGGCGCCGGCGCGCGCCTCGCCCATGGAGCCAACGCTCGTCGACGACGGCAGCCCCGCGGCCCCGCCTGCCAGAGAGCTTCGAACATGACTCGACGAGGCTGTCCTTGTCGACCAGATGTCAGGCCAGGGAATCCACCCTGGAGAAGCGGTCGGCTGGGCCGCGGGAGGGGAGCTCCATCGCCAGGGGGCCGCCCTTCGGTTGCCCGACCATCCGCTACAGGTTCACCATCGGGCGAAGCTGGCGAAGGGGGCAGCATCAACGCAGCACTCGCCGCGGGCGAGGCCCGCCTGAACCTCGAATCCATGTCCGACGTGAGAGGGTGACGGGCTGTCACCAGACTCCCGCGCATCGGGAGGCTCCCCGAGGGCGCCCACGCGAGAGCCAGACCAGCAAGGCACAGTGTTGCCAGCATGTGCACCTCTGGCACTGATATCCAAGCACCCAAACAGAATGCAAGACACCTTGGGCGCCCGAGTTATCCGGGGTAACTCGGGTCCGGGGTAACTCGGGATTGGATTTCCGAAAAAGGAACCCGAATTAGCCCTGACCCGAGTTACCCCTGATGATTCGAGGCTCTGGACGCCCGAGTTATCCGGGGTAACTCGGGTCCGGGGTAACTCGGGTTTGGATTCCCGAAAAACGAACCCGAGTTATCCCTGACCCGAGTTACCCCTGATGATTCGGGGCTCTGAACACCTGTTTACCACAACACGGCGCTTGCCGCCATCAGGCTCGAAGGGAGAACCTGGATCTCGAAATGGCCCCTCTACGCTCTCGTTGTTCCTGCAAGGGCTATCGAACTTGGCGCCAACGCGCAAAGGGGAGCTCTGCCTGGGCTGAGGAGGCCAGCGCTGCGAGAAACCAGTCTCGAAGCCAAAGCCGAAGAGCTGCGCGATCATGCGCAGTCCTTCCAACGAAGACAAAAGGCAACGATGCCCCCCCTCCCAAACTAACAGCAGTGACGAGCGCAGCGATCGCGACGACCACCACGACGCGTGCCAACCGAGACTTTCCAACGGTCGCCGCCAACGGTCAACAGGATCAGGCCGCCACAACCTGTCTCCCTCACCACCATGCGGGCAATACTTGTACCCATATCATATCCAGTGCGTCTTGGACTTTCTTGGAAAGGCGGCGCCGCACGGCCGAGGCGCACTGCATAACCATGGATGAAGATCGAGCCTCTCGGGGCCAGACTCCAGTCCATATCCAGTGCGCCTCAGGCTTCTGGGGAATCGGGAGCGGCCAAGAGGGGGGTGTCCAAGAGGGGGGGGTGCAAATCATGACTGGCGGCATGTGCGCGGCCCAGCGGGGGGGCCAGGGACGTTTCAAAACAAGAAGAAGCGCCATGAGATCTGGGGAAATATCATGCCCCCCGCCATGATATCCCCCCCCCCCCTAGTCATCACCCCCCTCTTTTCCGCCCCCGAGGGAAGAGAGCCTGGAGCTCCAAGACGCACTGGATGTAGATATATCGGGGATGGACAGACCTCCCTTTAGTAAAACGTGGTTTAGTGAAAACGACTTGAGACCCAAACCTGGCGGGCGCAAGCCTGGAAAATAACGGCCGCGGCGAACTCTCGAGAACCGAAAACGGACAATCCACTAATCGACGTGTCACTATTGGGGGTTCTGTCCGCCCCCGGATATAGACATTGCCCGCCCGCACACCCGGCGTCCTCCTCCCACCACCACGGCACGGAGAGCAGTGACCGGCCTGCCACCGACGACGGGGCAGGCCCCAGTGGGGCGGGGACCCAACGGACGCACCGACGGCAATCCCTTACGGTGACGCAACGACGGCACTCCCGACGGACCCAACGGACGCACCGACGCACCCAACGTACTTCACCTCTCGCCGGCCAGAGGACAACCCAAATGGTGAGCACGAAACAGTCTTCACCGCTGGCGCCAATGCGCTCCAGCAGCAGGCCAACCACTTCGCCCAGTCTCTCCAGCACGTTCGGAGGAACAGTCTGCCACGCTGCTAGAAGAGGTTCCTCCGAACCAAGCTGCCCGGGGCGGCCTTCAGCAGGCTTTCCGACCTGCTCCTGCTCTTGGGGCGCCCCTTCAAGGAAGCCTCCAGGGCGCACCTCGCTGCTCAAAGCGCGGCACGCTCGTGTCAGCGCCTCCGCTCTCCCAGTGAGCCCCGCGAGCAGCTGGCACCCTGCCCTCGGCGCCGCAGCAGGACGGCCGAGCGCGGGCACGGCCGGCGCTTTGAGTGCCTGCAGGAGTGCAGAAGGGGGCGAGCCTTGCCCTCATCACCACGTCCCGATGTTGCTGCCAAGTCGGGGTCCCCACGGACCGCGCCAGGGGGGAGGGTAGTCTTCCCACCCCTGCTTGTCACGAGCGGCACCCATCCGCCTTGCGAGGTTGAGCTGGCGGGATCCTGCTCCCGCGGGCCTGATCAGACTATGTTCGAACCGATGTGCTCTCTCTCTCTCTGTCTCTCAGTGTCCCCTCTCACTCCCCAACCCCGCTGGCCCCAGTCTCCCAGTCTGTGAGCCAGAAGACGAGTGGGAGGACCCGTGCTGCTTCATCCAGTGACCGATGTTCGTGTCGTAGAAGGGCAGAACGAAGGCGTGTGGACCTGATCCTCCCTCATGTTCATCGTCTCCCTCATCTGTTGTTCCTGCTCCTCTTCCTCCTACACCTCCATGCTCCCTGGTCCTGACCCTGCTCATCGTGTTCCTCTTGCCCTTTCTCGTCCTCCTGCTCCCCCTGCCCTGCCAAGGCCCCGCTGATCGGAATCCCAAGAAGCATGGCCAATGGCAGCAGCACGATCAGGAGCAGGAGCAACTGGAAAGAAATACGAAAGACCAAAAACAACAACGGTGAGGACAAAGATGGGGAACCTGATGATCCGGAGCGCGAGGGCGGGGGGAAAGGAGGAGCAGGAGCGGGCGGGCCAGAAGGAGGAGGCACAGGAGGAGGCAAAGTAGAAGGAGGCAGAGGAGGAAGAGGAGGAGGAGGAGGAGGAGGAGGAGGAGGAGGAGGAGGAGAAGGAGGAGGAGGACGACGACGAGGAGGAGGAGGAGGAGGAGGAGGAGGCAGAGGAGGAGGAGGGAGGAGGAGGAGGAGGAGGAGGAGGAGGAGGAGGAGGAGGAGTGAGGAGGAGGAGGAGGAGGAGGGAGGAGGAGGAGGAGGAGGAGGAGGAGGAGGAGGAGGAGGAAGGAGGAGGAGGAGGAGGAGGAGGGAGGAGGAGGGAGGTGGAGCACCGGCTACAGCAGTAGCTGCAGCAGCGGTGGCAGCAGCGGCAAGCAGCAAGCAGCGGCAGGCGCCAGAGCGAGCGGGAGGCCCGAGCAGGAGGACGAGGATACACGGGGGGAGGCAGCAGCGGCAGGACTGGCCTGGGCTGTGCCTGGGGCTCCAACGCACGCCGCGCGGGCAGAGCTGCACGCTCGGCGCCGCACCGGCACGCCCGGCGGCCGCTCTGGGGCCCCTCGGGCGCGCTGCCGCCGCCGTGCGCTGCGGACGGGTGCCGTGCGAAGGAGCAGCGGCGGCAGCAGCGGCAGCGGCGGCGGCGGCAGCAGCAGCAGCAGCAGCAGCAGGCTGAGAGAGCGGCGGCGGCGGCGGCGGCCCAACGCCCGAGCCAAGGACCGCCCGGCTTCTCGCGCACGTG